TGTACCGTGGAGAGTTTCTTTTCTGGTCCTGTCTGTTTGGTGTTCTATGTGCTTCTTGTATTTGTATGGGCATGTCTTTCTTTAATTTTGGGAAATTTTCTTCCATGATTCTGTTGAAGATCTGGTCCATGCCATTATTTTGGGATCCTTCTCCTTCCTGTATGCCTACGATTCGTAAGTTTGGTCTTTTTATGGTGTCACACAATTCCTGCTTATTCTATTCTTGTGATTTCTTAAATTTTTCATAATCTTTGCCTGAGTGGTCTAGTTTGTCCACTTTATCTTGCAGTCTTGATACTCTGTCGTCCATTTAATTCAGCCTATTTGTGAGGCTTTCTCCTGTTGTTTCTAATTGGCTTACTGAGTGTTTCACTTCCTTCTTCATTTCAGCCTGTATATTCGTCAATATTTCTAGCTCTTTTCTGAATTCATTCAGAAGTTTATCCCTATCTTCCGTCAGCTCTATGATTACCTTGTTTGTGTGTTCTTTAAATTCAGTGAATTCTTTTATCATATTCATCATTCTTCTTTTGAGTTCCATGTCCTGCATTGTCTCTGGGGGGTTCTCATTGTGCTCCTCTAGAGGATTACTGGTATTTGGTGGGGATATTTTGGTTTTACATGTTATTATTTTTTCTGTGTGATTTTGACATGTGAATTTCTTTTGTAGTTTCTGATTATTGTGTGAGACTTAAGCCTTCAAGTTTAGGCCTATTTCTTTTTGTAAACTTTATGTGTCTTTGTTGTTCTTTTTGTGCTTGAAAAGCTGATTCCTTTAAGCTTCAAGTTCTCTCTTTTGATTTTATTTTTATTTTGGAGTGGCCAAATTACTTTTGTCTTCAGGAGTTCCCACAATGGCCCAAGTCACATGAGGATCAGATGCTCTCAGGATTTCTCCTAATGTCTAGATTCCTGCAGGAAAGATTTTGGCCTCAGGAATTGGGGGTTGGACTGGTGTGGGAGCAGGGCCCAGGAAAGATGCTGGTCTAAGGCAGTTGGTGGTCCTGTCACCCAGAGATGCAAAAGGTGATGGGGGCAGGAAGAGGCTCCAAGGACTCCTGGGGATCAGGAACCTGAAAGGTCAGCGCTGGCATCCAGGAAAGAGCCTGGTGGGTTGTGCAGCCCAGGGAAGCAGAGGGAGGTGAGCTAAAGTAATATTTAAAAGAAAATATTTTATTTAGGGGCTGGAGAAATGGCTCAGCAGTTAAGAACACTGGCTGTTGTTGCAGAAGACCAGGGTTCGAATACCAGAACCCACATGGCAGCTAACAACTGTTGGTAACTCCAGTTCCAGGGGATCTGACAGCC